CAATGGATTCCAGATTAAGTTCACCTCGGACGTATAAATCGTTAAGGGCAAAGTGATAATACAAGACCCTGCTCAACAGAACAGTCCTAAAGGCTACATCAGGGCAGCATCAAGCAAAGTACTCTTCAAGGACTACCCGATTGTTATTGATGGATTGTCATTTGCCGAAAATAAAGCTCTGGAGTCAGCTGCAGCTCCTTTGGAAGCTGTTGTCACGACTAGATCGATCATATTCGCAACGTCCAGTCTGACATCGCCAGGAGTTGCAGCCCTGTTGGATAGGTTGATTTCTGATCTTGAATACCTGATGAATCTGGAAGGAAGGGTATTGGTCTTCCCAGAGAGAGTATTTGATTCGTCGATGTCTCTCTCCACCTATATTCCCGTTTCGCTGATCGGCGTTCCAGACTGGATGTTGGCGTTCCAAGATATGTCCACCTGTGTGCCATCGCCAGCCATGGCAAGAAACGACCTCTACTGTTCGATCCTCGCCAACATGGGTCCAGACGTATTTGCTTTGGCAATACTTATCACGATATGTGTAGTGATATCTGCCACAAGTAATAGAATCATAGATTATCGAATCAGAAAGAAAGGGTTGGATTCGCCAAAACCAGAACAGGAATCCTCCATTCGGAAAGATTGGACCTGTCTGGGAAGAGGTTACATTCCTCCAGATGTCCAACTCACCATGACAGATAAATTCCTTGTAGGCCTTCGGGAAACCTACGGTGTTACTTTCTTCATTGTGAAGCTCGAAGCCACGCAGCTTGATATGATAACGCTGATGGTCTTGAACTTCTGGAACTATGGAGAAGGAGTCATAGAGATGTATGGAGTGTTCCTCTCACTGATCTTCACTATCTACTATCTTCTTCAAGGCTATTTTACTTATACGTTCGCTCAGCAAATCTGGCAAGAAGTCCAGAAGTATAGGAATGAAGCCAAGTCGCATGAAGATGAGAAAGGTGCTCAGAAAAGGCCATACGTAACTACAGCCCCAAACAAGATCAATACTGTAAACCAAAAGATTC